TTCTTCTCGGAGGAGGGGCAGGCATCCACTTAGTATTCGGGACTGGGGCCAGCCCCCCAGACCTCTCCACTGGTTCCCTACTCCACACCGGCATGTTGTCTTCACACCTTGGAGCACTGGGTTGGAGTCTGGTCCCTTTTTTCCTGTGGAGATATAAACAATACCCTCCCCTTGGGTGAGTTAGATGCTGGTGGTTTTGAACTGTCCACCATGAGCTTTGCAGCCCAACATGTAACCATTACACCACCAGGGCTCCCTTTAGACTATCACATGTCATACTGATTTTCTTTTGGGGCTGATTCTGTTTGGAGTTCTCTGGGCTTATTGAACATTTTGTGTTCTGCCATAATATTAGGGAAATTCTCCTTAATGTGTCTTTAAGTATCTTCTCTGTAACTAATACTTCTTCTGGAATGTTTATCAAATATATGCTGTTCTTTTTGATAGCGTACTACAGAATTCTTATATTTTCATCAGCCTTTTGGGGATGTTTTTTATAGCATAATCTTGTATTTGGGTCCCAAGAAATTTGTCTTTGAGGTCACTGATTCTTGATTCCATTGTTCTTTCAAAGTGTTATCCATTTCTAATATTTTAGTATTTGTTTTTTGAATTTCTATTTGGAGTTGTTTATTTATTTATTTGTTTGTTGATTTTGTCAGATTGGTCTTGTAGTTCTTTCCTGAATTCCTGAAATGTCTCTTCTGTTTTTGTTTTGTTTTTTTCTCTTCTCTATTTCTATCAAAATTTTCTTCCTATCACTTAAAGTAGCTGGAAATCATCGCTCTAAACTCCCTCATGGGCGGATCCAAGGCTTTCGCCTCCTCTAAGGCCTCCTCCAGATTTACATCTGTATGTATTCTGGTTAATTGAATTGTTTTCTGTTGTTTCTGGATGTGTGCAGAGATGAGCTGCTGCTTTCAAGACATGGTGTTTTTAATATATATATATATATTTATCTCGGGGTAAAAATCAATACCCACACACTTATTTAGATCCTGATACCCAATGGTGGCCAGGCTGTTCAGCACCAGTCCAAACCAGCAGGAGTCAAAGGCAGGAAACAATTAAATATTGCCTCTAATGAAGTCTTGGTTTTGAGGCTGGTTTCCAAGGTCCCAGGAAGTGCTAGGCAACCATCCACACATCCAACATGATGGGGAAGAAAGAGGCTATGTGAAACACCGCATGCTTGCAGGAGCAATTTTCACTGACCCTGTATGTGAGAGCAGGGCCCAGATTCTATCTGGGCATGGACCATCAGACCAACAGGTAATATTACTTTGAATCCTGGGTCCGTGAAGAAATGTTCAAGCTTTGCCATGCTGCTTCTCTCTGCTGACACAGGTTCACCCAGTTCTGCACCCTGAGCCCCACAGGCCCGGTCCATCTCCCCAGTGCTCCAGGGAAGTTCTGCTACAGTCCAGTTCCCAATAGCTCCAGTCAGGCATTGGGAGCCAGGTTAGAGCCAATCTAAAACTCTTCTATCCAGCTGGAATGTAGTGAGTGGGTTAGGATTCTTTCAGTTCCAAGTGACTGGAACGTGTGAATCCTCCTGCCCACGTTTGGCCTGGGTCACCATCTAAGTATGTTGGGGGGAAGCATTGGTGCCGTCTGTGGTGTTAGTTGGGGTGGGTGAGAAGAAGAGGAGCCAGCAGCCGCAGCTTGCTGTTTCCCCAATCCTCTGCTGGGGGTGGGGAGCAGGGGCGGGGAGGAGGGTGAAACAGAGTCAGGGGGAGCTAAGAACAGCACAGTATATACGATTTTTTGAGAATTTTTTGTGTCAATTCCTCCCTCTGAGACACCAATATGTAATTAGTAGAACTTTCCAATTCTCAAGGAGGTCCAGAATTCAGGTGCTGAATCTTGTCCGTGCTTTTTGTCAAAGTTCTTTTCACAAAGGCTCTGACTACTCGGCCGTGTTGGATCTCCCTCTGAGGCCGTAACTCTGAAAGGTTTGTGTTAAAGCAAGCAGTCATATAAGTGAGGTGTCAGGTAAGTATTCTCAGAATGAGTACATACACCAGCCCATGTGCCAAGGATTGAAAATAATAAAATCCAAGATAATAGGAGGAAATAGTGTTAGAACTTAAATTCTGAGCACTGGTTTCCAGAAGGCTATGTATGACAATGAAATCTCACAATACATTTGAGGAACTACACCTGAGGCTGTGAACACTTGCAGGAGGAGGTGGCCCTGTCTTTCCCCAGAGGGGCAGCAGGTGGGTTTGAGCTGCTGGCCTTGCTGTTGGCAGCCCAATGCACAGCCCACTACACCTGCACTACAGTGCTCCTCCTGCAGATAGTGTTAAGAGTCAACATTTTATCATTTCTTTTCCCTTTTGACATATTTTTAATTAGTTCTGGTTTTTATTATTTTTCACTTTCTTTTGAATTGAGGTTTTTCTGCGTTTTATTTTGTTGGTGGTGGTGGTCTTTAATGTTTGTCTGATTTTATCTGAAATCCAGGATAGGTAAATTTATACAGAGAACAACTAGATTAATAATTTCTTAGGGTTTTGAGAGAGGAGGTTGAGGAGAAAGGAGGAGCTAATAATTGGGTACAAGAATGAAGGAAATATTCTAAAAAAGATTGTAGTAATGATTGCACAACTCCTCTTAATAACTTTAAACCATTAACTGCATGGTACGTGAATTATATGTCAATAAAACTGTTTAACAAAAGGGACAGGAACCTTAAGGGGCAGTGGACTCATGTTAATTGAGGAGGAATTATTCAGAGGATGAAGGTGAGAACAGCCGCCCAAGTCAAAGAATGTGATCAACGTCACCCATCGGACATGTAGAAAACTGTTGACTTGGCGTATGTTTTGCTGGATATATTCTCAGCAACAACAAAATAAATAAATAGATAGATAACTGTTTTTTTCTCAACTAGGATAAATTCATAGAGGGTTTTCCTCAAAGATCCTTCGGAAAAGTTGGCAGGAAATGAAGCCCCAGTGGCCTCCATGGTCAGAGCCCCTCCCTACACGACTCACCTGCTTCTTCTCTGGTTGTTTCAGGGGGAACGCTCTCTGTGGTCCTACCAGCCGACCAGCTCGCCGAGCTCCTGCTACAACCAGCTACGTCTGCACTTGCCAAGGTGAAGTAGCACCCGTTCCATCTGAGCAGAGTTGGGATTTTAATTTTCCAAAAACAAGAGTAGTTTTTGTCTGATGGAATTTTGATAAATGCCTCTTTTGAATGTTATGCATTCCCTAGATTTCTAATGACGCCAAAGAACAAAGTCTTGTTTGTTATAGGCCCTAGCTCTTGCTGGGTCAAGTGTCGGTCTGTCTACAGGAAGAAATCAAGTGCCTCGGTTGCTGACTTTTAATTAGGAGAGTCCAAAATAGGGTATAAGAGTAGAGGTCCGTTTATAGCAAGACACATATGAGGGCAAAAGGTTTTAAAAATGTTGTTCTCTAGACTACCCATCCTGGTTTCTCCTCTTCTAATTATAACTTTCAGACTATTTATTTCAATGAAGGAGAAAACCTCTGAGAATTAAGCAACGTTGCCCAGTAATGCTGGCTACTGGGCAGGGTGGAAAGCACCCGAAAACCACCAGCGGATTGCTGCCTTCTGCACCACTGACAGGGTGTTGGCCAAACCACACGTTCAGTGCTCAGACTTACAAATTCAGGAATTTAAAATCCAGGCACAATAAAGTTATGGATAGTCAACTTGAAGGATGACTCCGGTCTAGAAAACCATTTAAATTAGTTTACAAAATGTGGTGAAGAAAATTGATGGTGCCAGCTATGAAAAGATAAAGTATCGGGGGTCTTAAAGGCTTGAAGATAAATAAATGGCCATCTGGCTGAGAAGCAACAAAGCCCACATGGAGGAAGCACACGAGCCTGTGTGATCACGAGGTGTCGAAGGGATCAGGTATCAGGCATCAAAGACCCAGAACAAAAAATCATATCAATATGAATGGGAGGATGGTGGTGGAGTGGAGGCGCAAAGCCCATCTGTAGACTAAAGAACTAGAGGAAAGTTGTAAGTTTCATTGGTGCTATACTGCACCCTGACTTGTCTCTCCTTGTGACCCTTTCCTCTAGTTCTTTAGCGCTCCTCCCGCCCCCCCCCACTATCATGTCCTCAATTTTACCTTACAAATCTGACTAGACCAGAGCATGTACACTGCTATAGATAAGAGCTCGCAACACAGGGAATCTAGGACAGATAAACTCCTCAGGACCAATAATGAGAATAGAAATAGCAGGAGGGGAAGGGGAAGGTG